GGTTGTCAGTGATGGTTCCCACCCCATGGAGTTGTTTCGGGAGAACCTGGGTCAAATTCCCTGCCTTTCCTGGTGAAAAAGGCACCAAAGCTTTTATTGGAGCCCTGCCTGGCCTGTCAGTCATCCCTGTCCAGGAGGGTGCAGCAGGAACTTTTGGGTTTGTTGGGGATGTCTGCAGAGGGATGAGCTTTGCCACAAATCTCACCATGGGCTGTGCGTGAGCGATAAAACAGCCCCAGAGTTGAGGTTCTCATGGGGACTTTTCTTCATTTATGGCCCTCGTAAGAGGAAGGAAAAGGGTTGACTGGACAGGAAACAAAGCARTTTCCCAGTAGGGAAATCCTCCTGCAGCACATCTGTTCCCAGAGCGGGATGGCATTCCCGGGTGGTGGCGGATTTCCCCCGCTACCACCGGGGGCTGACCCACATCTCCCGGCTCCTGCTTTTAGGAAACCCTTTGAACAGCCTCATCCTCTGCCTCCTGTGTTACTGACTGTTCCGTCCCGGTTCCCATTGTTTCCGTCCTGGTTCCCATTGTTTCCATGCCGGTTCCCATCCTTTCCATGCTGGTGAGGGTAGTGTTAGGAAAATGAATCCACAAGCACCAGAGGTTTATGTCCAAAAAGGAGATAGAGGAGTCCTGTAACTTTATTCTAATAAAGGGGGAGGCCATGGGACATTTCCATGGCATCTCTCAAATTGCTGGAGGACACAGCCTCCTTTTTGTCCCAATTTCCCAGCTGCAGTTCCCTCTCTCTTTCCCCATGGCTGAGGTACTTGAGATGTACAGACTCCCCCAATCCCCTAATACAGACCCCATCTAATGTGCATCCTGCCCCTTTCTTACTCTTTGTGTCTCTGTTGTTTTTCTCTCAGTCCAGGGGTTTAGCACTGCCTTGGGTGAGTAACAGTCTGTGTCAATTGGGTGGAATTCTTACAGAATTTAGGATTTTTCTTATTGTTCCTTTTACTTATTARTATCTGACCTTATCAACCAGCAGATCCCRTAATTTGTTTGTAATTCCTTTCAGTTTTGTGATTCCTTTCAGCAGGATCCACCTCCCACCCCCCGGACCCTTTCTCCGTTTGCTCCCTGCCCCTCTCGAGTTCCCTCCTTATCCCATTTCCGCTGCTTCCTCGTGGCYCCGAGCCAGTTTGCCCTAATCTATGGATACCATACTGTGTCAACAGGAAATTCCCCCTGCTCTCTGTGACTCACAGAGCAACCTGCGTTCCTGTCCCGGGAGTAATCCGGGAGCCACCCCCTGATCCTCCCCGCAGGGTGGTGACAGCTCCTCTGCTGTCACCTCGGTTGTTGTTCAAAATAAAAGGCTCTTGGAAGGCCGGGGAGGGGAGTTCAGAGCCGTTCCTGTCAGGATGCAGTCCTGGAAGGGGCTGGGAATGCTGCTCCCTTGTGCCAGGGTGCTGAGCTGGGCTCGTTTTCCTCCTGGTGTTTGCTCAGGGATCTTGTCCCAGAACCTCGTTCCTTTCAAAAGGAATTTCTTTACTGAAAGGGTGAAGGGGCATTGGAAGGGGCTGCCCAGGGAATTTTGGAGTTTTCTCCCCTGGAGGTGTCCAAGGATTTGGCACTCAGTGCCCTGGTCTGGGTCACAAGGTGAGGATCAGGCACAGGTTGGACTCCAAGGGTTTTTCTCCCTTAATGATTCTGAGGTTCTTGCAGCCAGAAAAGCTCCTGGAGAAGCTTCAGCCACATTTTCTTCTCCCCTTGGGTCTCATCCCCTCCTGGCACACACAGACCAAGGCTTTTCTGCCTTCCCTGCCTTTTTTTTACCCCTGCAGGGCCCAGACCCCTGTAGCCTCCTCTTGTGAGGTCTCTGTTTTACCCTGGATGTCTTCTCTGTGCCTCTTCCCATCTCTCTTCTTCCTGGGGCTGCTGCAGGGCTGGAGTTTTACCCCCAGCAGGAACCCTCCATGGACCAAAGTCACTGCAGAGAAAGTGCTCTCCTTCCACAGTGATTTTAGGGGAAGGGAACTGATTGATTTGGGGCTTTACTATCCCACCAGAATGCAATCCCAGTATTTCCCAGCTGTTGACACAGTCCCACAGATTGTTCTCTGGAGCCATGTACCTGAGACTGACCAGCAGAGAATCACAAAGTTTGGGGAGGAAGGGACCTTAAAGCTCATCGTGTTCCCACCTTCCTGCCACRAGCAGGGACARCTTCCACTAAATCCCACACGGTGCTGGGGTTTGGGCTGCGCAGGAGCCGCCCCCAGTCAGGGGTCATTGTGTGTTCAAGGGGCACGGGGGGTTGGATGAGCATAACAACTCAYACATTTCATTTTTGAACAGAAAAGGAAGAGCTGGATCTCCGAGGATGATTTCTATCGCCCATCCCCAGGACAGAGCGGCCAGAGCGCGGCCGACACCAATGGCTTGGGACCGGAGGGGGACGGCGAGGGGCCAGCCCCGGGRCTCATCAGTGCTCTGGACCTGGAGAGGCTCTCGGTGCCATCCTCGGACACCGGGAAGGCCAAARCATCCCCGGAGCGGGAGCAGAAGGGTTTCAGCGTGGTGCACCGCCGGCAGATGGGTACGGCCACCCCCTGCTCCCCTGCGCTCGGGGCTGCTCTGTGGGATGGGATGTTTGGGAAGAGCTGCTGGGAGGCAGCAGAGCAGCTTCCTGAGGCACTGCTGAGCCCAAGCAGGCTCTGCTGGGGAGCATTGCAGGGGGAGAGGCTCTGTCCACCCTGTGGGGCACCTTTCCTTTGTCCCACTTGTTCCCAACCTCAAAACCCAAACGCAGAGGGACAGAGGCCAAATGCACAGGGACAGAAACCCAAATGTAGAGGGACAGAAACCCAAATGTAGGGGCACAGAAACCCAAATGAAGGTGGGCAGTGATGGAGACCATGCCCCATTCCACCACCCACCAGCACCTGCTCTCACCCCTGCTGTGCCTCTGGGTGCTCACTTTGAGCCCTCCTTGGCTTTTCTCTCTTCCTTTCTCGCTTCAACTGAGACATTAGTTATCAGGAAAAAGTTTTTTATCGAAAGAGYGATAAAGCACTGGAATCATCTGCCCAGGGAGGGGTGCAGTCACCATCCCTGGATGTGTTCACAGAGAGATTGGATGTGGCGCTGGGTGCTGTGGGTGAGTTGAGGTGTCAGGGCAGGGCTTGGACTGGGAGATCTTGAAGGTCTCTTCCAAGCCTGGTGATTCTGTGACTCTGTGATTGATTCTGTGATTCTTTGACTTTGTGATTCTGTGATTGTGATTCTGTGATTCTGTGATCTCGTGACTGTAATTCTGTGATTGACTCTGTGACTGATTCTATGATTGATTCTGTGACTCTGATTGTGATTGACTGTGATTGTGTGATTGACTCTGTGATTGTGTGATTGACTCTGTGACTCTGTGATCTGTTGCCACAGGTCTCTCCAACCCGTTCCGTGGCCTGCTGAAGCTGGGCAGCCTGGAGCGGCGCGGGGCCATGGGGATCTGGAAGGAGTTCTCGTGCGAGCTGTCGCCGCTGGAGCTGCGGCTCTTCCTGGAGCACGAGGAGCGCATCTGCRTGGAGAGCTACTCCCTGCTGCGCTGCGAGTCGCTGGCGCTCACCCACTCGGACGGCCGCTTCGAGCTGGTGTTCCTGGGGAAAAAGCTCTCGCTGCGAGCCCCTTCRCGGGACGAGGCTGAGGACTGGCTGGACAGGATCCGCGAGGCGCTGCGCGAGTGCCGGCCGCAGCTGGACGAGGAGGACTGGGAGACGCTGGAGTATGCTGAGGATGGGGGTGAAACCCAACCAGTTCTCTCCAGTGCTGTCCAGTACAGTGACGTGCCTGGGAACGGCTTGGACTGGACTCCAGCTCCGGAGCCAGAGCTGGATGCCATCAAAGAGGCTGTTCTGTACATGGACGTGGACAAARCCTGGGTCCCTTTTGTTTTCTCCCTGTCTCTGGAAACTCTGAAATGCTTTAAAATCAGGAACAGTGACAAAATTTTAAGCAACAGTTATGGCATAGAGACCATCCAGGACATCCTTCCCGACACCAGCCTGGGGGGACCCTCCTTCTTCAAGGTGATCACCTCCAAGGCYGTGCTGAAGCTGCAGGCCCAGAGTGCCGAGGAGGCGGCCTCGTGGCGGGAGCTGGTCCGAGAGGTGCTCATGTCCTACCTGGAGAGCGCCGAGGAGGCGTTGACCCTGGGGGGCAGCCTGGACGGGCACTCCCAGGTGGTCCTGAAGAACATTGTGAAGGAGAACGGCTTCCTGCTGCAGTACCTGGTGGCCATCCCCACTGAGAAGGGTCTGGACTCGCAGAGCTTCATCTGTGCAGGTACAGAACCATGGAATGGACCTTAAATCCCACCCAGTGCCACCCCTGCCATGGCAGGGGCACCTCCCACTGTCCCAGGSTGCTCCAGGCTGGCCTTGGACACTCCCAGGKWTGGGGCAGCCACAGCTGCTCTGCTTTCCCAGGAATCCCAGCAGCACTGGGCTCCATGTCCCCAGTCAGGGGCACATTTGTTGTCCTGTGGGCACAGGGTGAGCCCCCCATGCTGAGGTGCCCCCAGCCCTGGGGTGGATGAGGAGCTGCTGGGGTGAATGAGGAGCTGCTTAGATGGATGAGGAGCTCCTGGGGTGGATGTTCCGCTCGGACAGCTGCACCTCCTGAGCATCAAGGAAGTTACTGGGCTCCCATTTAAGATGGTTTTGGTCCCAGTGAGGAGCTGGGATTGAAGCAACCTTAGATGGACCAGGAAGCTCAGTACTCAAGTCCCCCGTGCTGAGCCCTCTCTCACCCCATCCAGTCCAGCTGGGATGTTACTGGGCTCCCATTTAAGATACTTTTGGTCCCAGTGAGGAACTGGTGCTGAATCAGCCCTAGGTGGACCAGGAAGCTCAGGACTTTCTTCCTGGGCACTTTGAGGCCCCAGCCYGTGGGGAAAGTGCAATCTGGAGCAGTTTTTCCGGTAAGGCAGCACAGGAGCGGGGATTGCCATGGGTGTGACAGGCTGATTTTGCAAAACAATCATTTACCCTTCCCCTGACGCCTCTCAGCAYGCGGGGAGATGCTGGTGGCACCTTCACTGACCTCCACAGGAGCACTCATTTGCTCCTTACTCGTGAAGTTAATTAAATTTCAGATTTCTCTCCTGCTTCAATTACATTTCTTGTACCCTCCAGCAGGTTGGGTTGTTTTTCCTTTTAATCACTCTCTTTTTTTATGYAATTTTTATTTCTATTTGGTCTCTGCCTTACCTTCCAGGCTCTGTCCTGCATCTCCCACCTTCCCACAGCAGAAAGCAACAAGCCAAAAAGGCAAATTCACATTTTTTCTGTGTAGGTTTTCTTTAGGGATGTGCCTGCTCTGCTTTTACSCCACTCCCAGCCTGTTCCCACCCTTCCATCTCAGGGTAATGAGCAATAAAAGCTCATTTTGGGTTTTATTATTTGGGTTTTATTATTAATTCAGGAAGCAACATGTGATTTCCACAAATATTTTGGGGGGGATGAGCTCCAGCTATTCCAGAGCACAGTGGATGGGGTAGTGAAGCCGAACTGGGTTCCCTACTGCTGTAATAAAGGGGTTTTGGGGTTAATCCATCCTTGCAGATGAGGTTTTGGTACCCTGGAAAAGGGCTGAGTGAAGGTAAAATGGGGCAAAGCTGGTGGTGGAGGTGATGGGGCAGCAGGTGGGATTCAGGTTCTTCCCTAAACCACTGAGTTACATCCTCATGGTGCCCATGTCCTCGTKGTGCCAGTGTTCTCATGGGAGTCACATCCTCGGGATGCCCACTGGGATATTGCCAGAATTCACTTCTCCTAAAAAAAAACAAAACAATTGAACCACTTGATGGATAAAAGTGAGTTCAGGGATAGTTGAGCCTTCTGATGGAGAAAAAGTGAAGCAGCAACTGCTGAACCATCACACCCATGAGGAAGGGGCTGGGGGCCCGGCACTGAGCATCCTGCAGGTGCTTTAGGTGGCCTCTACCCCTTCCCAAAACTTCCTGGTCCCATTCCGTGCTGCCAAAAGTCTCTGCCCGTTCCAGTGGGCCCGGGCTGGGGGGCAGCACGGTCCCCTCTGACCCCCTGCTCCCGCAGGCTGCTCCAGGCAGATCGGCTTCTCCTTCGCCAGGCCCAAGCTCTGCGCCTTCTCGGGGCTCTACTACTGTGACAGCTGCCACGGGGACGAGGAGAGCATCATCCCCTCACGCCTCATCCACAACTGGGACCTCAGCAGGCGAGGGGTGAGCGCTGGGCTGGGCCGGAGCGGGGAGCGGGGAGCGGGGAACAGGGAACACGTCCTGCAGGGCCGGCTGGGCCTTCCCTGCATGCAGGAAACTGCTCCAAACCTCCCTCCAGGCTTCAGGGGGTACAGGGCCATGGCCTCGTGGAGCCCATGTCCTCATGGTGCCAATGTCCTCGTGGGAGTCACATCCTCACGGTGTCCATGTCCTCATGGTGCCCATGTCCTCCTGAGATTCACATCCTCATGGTGCCCGTGTCCTCATGGGAGTCACATCCTCATGGTGCCAATGTCCTTGTAGTGCCAATGTCCTCATGAGATTCATGTCCTCGTGGTGCCCATGTCCTCGTAGGAGTCACGTCCTCACAACAGTGCCTATGTCCTCAGGATGTCAATGTCCTCATGGGTGTCCCATTCTCATGGTGCCCCTGTCCTTGTGGTGCCAATGTCCTCGTGGGCAACACATCCTCGTGGTTCCCCCACCCCTGTGGGACTCATTCTCACAGAGCTTGCATCCTCATGCCCATGTTCCTCTCAAAGCGCGGGGCTGTTTTTCCAGCCCGTGCCCAGCTGTGCCCTCCTCCCTGTGTTCCCCAGGTGTGCAAGCAAGCGCTAAAGTTCCTCACACAGATCCGGAACCAGCCGCTGATCGACCTGAAACTGGTCAATGAGAGCCTCTACGAGCACGTGGAGAGGATGGGGCGGATCCTGCGCAGCCGAGAGCAGCTCAAGCTGCTGGGGGATTACCTCGTCATGTGCCGCAGCGGCGCCCTCAAGGAGCTCAGCAAGCGGTGAGCTCCCTCCCCGGGTGGCATTGCCCTCCCCGGGTGGCATTGCCCTCCCCGGGTGGCATTGCACTCCCCTGGCACCCTGGCTGTCCCCTGCTTCCCCTCCTCACCCACCATGGCAGCAGGGAGCGGTGCTGCCGAGGCTCAGGATGGCTTTTCCCCCCACATCGTCTGCTCTGAGGAGTTACCCTCAGCATAATGAGCTGGGACTCAGGAAACACCTTCCTGGCCCAGGAGCTACTGGCGGGACAGGAAGCACCTGGGAAAACAGATGAGATATTTTCTTTTTTTTCTCCTCCTTTTTAAATGCTCTCACACGATTTTCAGTGGCAGGATTTGGGCTCTGCAGCAATTCACTTCAAAAGGCTCCTCCATCCAGGCTCCTCCTTGCTCCGAAGCTGTTGGAGGTGTGGTGGGAACCATCTCACCTCTTCCTGTCTGTGCTTCTTTGCAGGCTTGATCACAGGCATTACCTCCTGGAGTGTCCCCACAAATACAGCGTGGCTGACCTGAGGCAGGTGAGAGCTGAGCACGGTCACAAAATCACCCAATAGTTTGGCTTYGAAGGGACCTTAAAGCCCACCCAGTGCCATCTCTGCCATCCAGTCCCACCTCCCGCTGGAGCAGGTTGCTCCAAGCCCCCTGGCCTCATTGTGGGGGTTTTCCTGTGAAAACACCCCAGTGTCTGTGGGGCCTCCAGGTGCTGCTCCTTCAGCAGGAAGGTCCCAGCAGTTGGGTTTTTCAGTGATTGCCAGTCAGGGTGATTAATCAGGTTGTGGGTACTGCTCTCTGCAGTTGGGGTCCCATTGCACCCCAGATGTGTGTGGGGGGGGGATGTTTTGGAGGCCAGCCTTGCCTCCCAGCCCGAAGCATGGGTGTGACACAGCACACGCCGCTGGGGCCAGGTCCCAGAAATGCTGATCCTTGTGTCCCCCAGATCGCCGACGGTGCCTTTGAGAGCTTCCTGCAGTCGCTGCTCCAGTTCGCATCACACCACGTCTACAACTGYGACCTGTGCACGCAGCGCGGCTTCATCTGCCAGATCTGCCACAGCAGTGACATCATCTTCCCCTTCGAGTTCGACACTACCACCAGGTGARTGCCACCTCTGTTCCRTCCCCATCCTGCAGCYGGGACACCCCYARGCACAGCCCAGCTTCTCCCAGGAGCCCCGGCTGCCCCAGGGTCCCGCTCGGGGTSTGCGGTTTCGAGGCATGTGGGGGATTAGAGATGGCTCTGAGGTGGTGGTGCCTCCTCGTGGTGCCCAGGAACTTGTGGCTCCGTGTCCTCAACCATGGGGACTATGCTGTGATGCACGTGTCCCGTCGTGGCTGTGTCCTCATGGGAGTCCCCTCCTCATGGTGCCTGTGTCCTTGTGGTGCCAGTGTCCTCATGGGAGTCACATTCTTGTGGCACCCACGTCCTTATGGCAGCCATGTCCTTGCAGGAGCCACATCCTCGTGGTGTCCGTGTCCTCAAAGGAACCATATTGTGGTGCCCATGTCCTCTTGTGCCCCTATCCTCGTGGGAGTCCCATCCTCATGGTGCCCATGTCCTCGTGGCACCAGTGACTTCATGGGAATCATGTCCTCATGATGTCAATGTCCTCATGGTGCCCATGTCCTCATGAGATTCACATCCTCCTTGTGCCCATGTCCTTGTGCCCATGTCCTCATGGGTGCCATACCCTCGTGGTTCCCCCATCCTTGTGGGACTCGTTCTCACAGTGCCCACATCCTCATGCCCACATCCACCTGGGACCCACCAGCCCCAGGACGCTTCGAACCAAATCTGTGCTGTTYGGGGCAGAAGACCATCCTCCCAGAGCCAAGATGGCACCAGGAGAGGTGCTTGTGCAGACTGGAGGTGCAGAGCCACCAGCACCTCGCTGCCAGCCTGCAAAGGCCTCAGTGGGTGCCAGGGCAGCTGAGGGGATGGAGGGAGGAGGAGGAGGAAGAGGGAGAGGAGGAAGAAGAGGGAGAGGGGGAGGAAGAGGAGGAGGAGGAAGAAGAGGAGGAGGAGCAAGGTGCTGCATGTCTGACTCACCTGGCCAGTGCTTCTCCCATTGAGGGTCAGGGGTTGCAGAAGGGAGGGGAAGCGGCAGTGGGATTGTTCTGCATCCCTCTGCAGCCACAGAGGGAAGGAAGGACACACGGACACGCATGTCATGGAATCCCAAAGGACACACGGACACGGATGTCATGGAATCCCAAAGGACACACAGACACAGATGTCATGGAATCCCAGAATGGGTTGGATTGGAGGGACCTTAACAACCATCCCCTTCCACCTCCTCCCTCTGTCCCAGGCTGCTCCCAGCCCCAATGTCCAGCCTGGCCTTGGATACTGCCAGGGATCCAGGGGAGYCAYGGGAGCAGAGRGGGATGGTGGGCAGCACTGTGGGATGTGCAGGGGGAGCCTGAGGATGTTCCCAGCAGGAGAGGTGTTGTGCTGGTTCTCTCTGGGGTTTTCCCCTGCCCACAGTCCCCTGTCCTGCAGTGGGGTTGGCTGTGGGTCAGGATGCAGCAGCTGGACAGAGGTCGGAACTGGGGCAAGGGTGCTGCTAGAGGGGAGCTCCATCCCCACCACCACTAGGGTTTCCTGAAGAACTCAAACCCTTCCAGCCCAGGAACCTRCTCCACTGTAGGTGGAGAGATCCACATCTCTGTGGTTGTGTCAGAACTATGGAATCGTTCAGGTTGGAAAAGCCCTGTAAGATCATSCAGTCCAACCATTCCCCCAGCACWKCCACRGCCACCACTGACCCCTGTCCCCAAGTGCCACATCCACAGGGCTGTTAAASCCCTGCAGGGATGCTGACTCCACCACTGCCCTAGGCAGCTGTGCCAGACTTGGACRACCCTTTCAGTGAAGAAATTTTCCATAATAYCCAACMTCAGCCTCCCCTGGGGCAATGTGAGGCCATTTCCTCTTGTGCTGTCTTATCCTATTTGGCACCAAGCGCAATCCTGGCAGAGAGATTTCACAGCCCGATGGACAGCCTGGCCTCGCTTCGCCTGGCAATCCCTAAAACCCAGCAGCAACACCCAGAACCTGTAGAAAACACTGAGGATCCCGTGGGTGCTCCGTGTGTTCAGGGCTGCGAGTGTTTCCRTGGAGGAGGAGCAGCGCTGCTGRCTCCYCTCCCCGGGGACAGCGCTGAGTTCATTATCAGGGGCAACAACATCCCCAGGGGACCGATTTTCCCTGGAAAAAAGAGCAGCCGGGCTCTGGGAAGCGCTGGCACGCAGGGCTGAGCTGGCCGGAGGTGTCGTGTCCCGCCGAGCCGAGCTCTGAAGTTGGTTGACGTCTTTTCTGTTTCACGCYGCCGGAGGAGGCTGCGCGGCAGGAAAGCGGCTCAGCCCCATCCCCGCGGAGCTGAGTGCAGCTTCCTGCCCCTCTGGCCGCCGGGTCACACCGGAGCTCGCTGCAGGATGTGTCTGCAGAGCTTCCAACAATGACCCTGGCAGCTCAGGGGGGAGGCGGGGACAGGAGATGCCGCCGGAACCACGGCGGGTAAAACGCGGCTTCCCAAATCCCCCGTGCCTGCGGGACAGCCGSCACTGCTGCTGAGCCGGAGAGGCCACATGGAAGGGTATTCCAGGGGGAAATGCGTATTTCCCATCCCAAATCCCGCCTGGCCAGGCACAAGCCTTGTCCTGAGTCCCCTCAGGGTTTTGCAGCTCCTCTCCGGAGCAGGGTTTGACCCCATCGTGGTCCCTTTCCCGGTACTGCCAGCTGTTTCTCTGCCCCTCTCCCACTCATCCTTGGGGGAATTCAGGTGCTTGGTGCCGTTCACACGTGGATTGTGCACCAAAGGTGCTTGGCGCTGTTCACACATGGATTGTGCACCAGGTATTTGCACACCWAAGGTAAATCTGCCTGCCCAGCTGGCATGTGGCTGAGCCACSTTTTGCTGCCACTGAGGAGCTGGGGATTGCACCCAAAAATTTACCTCAGCCCTCATAGCAGGGACACTTCTGCTGCTGACTCAGCGGTGAAACCTCTGCCCTAGCTGGGGTCCCACACAGGGTCACACTCCTGCTGCTACTGAGCCAGACCGGGGAGCTCTGACATCTCCACAGAGTCCCCTGCTCAAGGGCAGCCCCTTCCTGGCTRCCTGTCCCTTCCCTGCAGCCCCCCTGTACCCACAGTGTCCCTGTCCTGCTGTCAGGGTGGGGGTGTTGCACCCCAGCCATAGCAGGTGGAGGGTCCCCAACAGCAATGGCTGGTGATGAGGGATCAGTGTCAGGGGTTGGTGACACGAGAGTTGGTGTCCAAGGTCGGTGTCACAGGGTTTGGTGTCACAAGGTTTGGTGTCTCAGGGGTTGCTGTCACCCCCTCCAAGCTGCACTCGCTGCTGGGAGCGCAGGGCACAAACCGCAGCTCGAGCCTCACGGCCGCCTCTCTCACACATTGGCAGCGCACCCTGTGCTCTTTCCGGCCCAGCAGCTGCGCTCGGGGCTGCCGGGATGGGTGAGGAGGTGCTGGGGGGGATGAGGAGCTACGGGGAGGGTGAGGAGCTGCTGGGGTGGATGAGGAGCTGCTGGGGTGGATGAGGAGCTGCTGGAGTGGGTGAAGAGCTGCTGGGGTGGGTGAGGAGCTGCTGGAGTGGGTGAAGAGCTGCTGGGGTGGGTGAGGAGCTGCCGGGGTGGATGAGGAGCTGCCGGGGTGGATGAGGAGCTGCTGGGGTGGGTGAGGAGCTGCTGGGGTGGATGAGGAGCTGCCGGGGTGGATGAGGAGCTGCCGGGGTGGATGAGGAGCTGCTGGGGTGGGTGAGGAGCTGCTGGGGTGGATGAGGAGCTGCTGGGGTGGGTGAGGAGCTGCTGGGGTGGATGAAGAGCTGCTGGTGTGGATGTTCCGCTCGGGCAGCTGCTCCTCCTGAGTGCTCACACACCAGGACAGGGAACTGTCCCCTGCGGGGGAAGTTTGCTCTTCACTCTGAGGTTTCCAACACAGCGGGTTTGGTTTTTTTTCCCCTTTTTCCAGATGCAGCAAATGCAAAACCGTCTTCCACCGGGACTGCCATGCCCGGGCCCCATCATGCCCGCGCTGCGAGCGGCGGCAGCGGTACCAGCGGCAGCTGGAGGCCGGCACGGAGCCCAGCACGGAGCCCAGCCTGTAGCCTGGCACTGCCCTGGACATTGCCCTCGGGCCTGTCGTGGCCCCGCCCTGGGGACAGGGACAATGTGGGGTGGGTGCTCCTGCCTCGTGGAGGGACCCTCTGCCCACCCAGGGCCGAACTAAGGGGTGGGAAAATCCACCCCCCTCACACTAACCGGGTGCTGTTCCCTGTCACCCTCCTGGTGCCAATGTCCCCTCCGTGTGGAACCCAGCGGCTCTGCAGGGTGTCAGCCCAGATTTCCAGTCAAGGGTGTGGAGAACTGACGTTGCTCAAAGCTCTAGTTTTTTAGGATGTTCGATACTGAAAACCGGTATTTTTTTACACGGGGGTTTTGCACAACTGGGCTGCTCTGGGTGATGGAGCCAATGCAGGGAGGGGACAAAGTGACACTTGTGCCTTTTAGGGACCTGCGTGCCCCAATGGGACCGCGGGTGCCCCGAGCATCTCCTGCTCCGAGAGCCCGCCCAGCGCCGGGGAGAGCCGGGGAGAGCCGGCCGCTCCTCCCCGCCTGCTGCTGCTCATCCGCGGGAGAAATTTTATTTTCCTTTAACCCCTCCCCACGCAAAAATAATTAAAGTTTATTTAACAACAAGTGAAGCAATTGTTGGGGTTTACTGCTCCATGGTGGGACCAAATCACCTGACATGGCGTCTCTGTGGGAAGAGGGTTGGGAATGGGGATGCTGCCTGCCCCTTGTSCTCTGTCCTGCATCCTCTCCACCCATCCTCCCTACCCGTCCTCCATCCTCCAGGGTTTTGCCTGCCCAAGTTGGGGGGAAGAAGGGTTGGGGGACCCTTCCCCATTTCCCTGCCCCATTTTCCATCCCATCTGCTCCCCACCAGTGTCAGCCTCTCCCACTGTTCYGGTGCCGGGAGCCTTTGGGGTGCATCCACCAACGCAGAGGAACTCCCTGGGTGCGTGGGGACAAAAACCAGGGCAGGGYAGCTCCCACGGGGCCCCCCTAATGGGGTCCCCATCCCACTGCCCAGRGAGGCCGTGCCAGATCCGGCAGCAGCGCAGATCCCGGCTGAGCTGCGGGGCTGGGCCCTTCCTGCGGCAGGAACCTCCCGAGGAGCCGTTTCCTCGTCGGGTCCGCTCCGCCGCCGTCCGTTCCCGCCCGCCGAGGGAGGAAACGCGCCCCAGCACCGTGCTGCAGCCACGGGACGGGCACCCAGCCCCGCCGCCGAGCCCGGCCCCGTCTCTCGTCGAGGCGGCGGCGGAAACCGGGCGAGTCGGGACCGGCCCGGCGCGGGTACGAGCGGCACCGCGGGCGCGCACCCGCCCCAGCGCCGGCCGCAGGTGAGAGCGCGGCCCGGGGATGGGCGGGCTCGGGGGGCTGCGGGGGCTCAGTCACTTGAGCTTTGGGGTGGCTTTGGGGTCTTGGGAACGGTGGCAAGGACGGCGCCCGTGACCCCAGGGCTGTTCCAGCAGGTTCGGGCAGTTCGCGGATGTCGTGGTTTGGAATGCTGAGCTTTACCGCACTCAGACCCAATACAGCGGAGCGGCCGCGTAGGGCTGGAGCTCGGCGGGGACCCCGAGGGRGCTGAGCTGGGGGGTTCTCACGCACCCCGAGAGGGGTCGGGACCCGCCGTCAGTCTTGCCGTGCCCCGTGTCCCGCAGGCGGAGGCGCCGGGAGGCCATGGAGGCGGCGGAGACGGCCGAGGAAGCGCTGGTGCTGGTGGAGTACGGCTTCGAGTACCGCGCCAAGGACGGCACCTTGGTGTCCATCAAACCCAACGAGCGCTATGTTCTGCTCAAACGCACCAACTCGCACTGGTGGCACGTCCGCAGGAGCGGCGACAGCCGGCCCTTCTACATCCCGGCCCAGTACGTCAAGGAGCTGCCGCCCATCGCAGCCCCGGCCCCGCTGGAGCCCCCGCCGTCGGCCCACGCCGCTCCGGAGCCGGAGCCGGCCGCGCTCGTCCCTCAGCTCCCGCCGGCCTACGAGTATCGCTTCATCGGCGCCGCCGAGCCGGGGGAGTCGGCGGGAGGGTGCCCGGTGCCCCGCAGGGACTCGGTGCCCGGGAAGGATCCGGTGTCCAGGAAGGATTCGGTGCCCAGGAAGGATTCGGTGCCTAGCAGGGACTCAGTGTCCAGGAAGGATTCAGTGCCCAGCAGGGACTCGGTGTCCAGGAAGGACTCAGTGCCCAGGAGGGACTCGATGCTCCAGAGGGACTCACCGCCGTCACTCAGCTCTTTTCGGGTCCTCCCGGGGCTGACCCCGCACCCCGCCGAGCCCGTGAGACCCTCGCACTCCCTGGATGACCTGGCACGGGTGACACCAGGAGCACGTGGTGCCACTGCCACGGGGACGCACGGGGACCCCCCGGGACACGSCCGCCCGCTCGGGAAGAGCCGCTCCGAGACCCTCTGCGCCTCCGGCAAGGACAGGGACGGGGCCAGGAGGTGGCCCGGGGCCGGCCCCGCGGCTCAGGTACGGTGACATCGCCACTGCTGTCCCCAAAAGCTGCGCTGGGGGGTGGTTAGCGGGTACGGGTGTTGAACCTGAGCCCCTCGGCTGATTCGGTGGCTGCACTCCCCTCCGTGACCCTCTGACCCCCAGCACAGGRTGGGATGACCCTCCGGCACCCACCCCACATCCCACTTGGGACAAACCTGCAGGTGACTCCCCCCGCACAGATTCACCTGAATGAACCGTCTCGGGGGCCTGAGTGACCTCCCCACACTGGAACCCCCTGCACACCTTCCACCCTCAGCCCCCTGCCCCGTGCCTCAGTTTCCCCACCCTCACGAGCACCCCCGGCTCCCCCCGTGATCCCCGGGATGGGGGTCACGGCCTCGGTGCCACCCAGGGAGGCTGTGGGGTGTCCCCCTGAGGTCCCGCAGCGTTGTGGGGTGAGAGGAGGCAGAAAGGGTTAACAGGGAAGCGCGGCGGCTCCTCCCTGCCGGGGCGGGGGCCTCACCTGGGCGCAGCACCGGGGCCGGGCTGGGTGCGGGGTGCACCCCGCGCAGGCCGGCACCCGACACCCCAAACCCAGTAAGTARCGAGGGGCCCTTCCCACGGGGGGCACCCAAAGGTGGGGGAACCCCCTCTGTCTGCTCACCTGCCACCRGACCCGGGCTGGGCCACACGGGGTGACAAAGTGACAGCAGAGGCGGGGGGTGGGTCCCATGACCTTGTCCCCTCCTCACTTGTCCCCCAGCACCTCAATTTGGGGTAACCGCAGGCACCTAGAGCACCCCGAGCCTGGTGCCCCCCTCGAAGTGGAGGGATTGTGCCACCTGGGGGAGCTGCTGGAGGAAATGGGCTGTTAGTGCTGGGGAAAATGAATTACACCCCATTTTCACCTCATTTCCTGCTCCATTTTCGCCTGATTTCCCCCATTTTACAGCCCATTTCCCCCGTTTTACACCCCATTTTCACCTTATTTCCCATTTTACACCTCATTTTTGTCTCATTTCCCCCCATTTTACACCCTGTGCCCCCAGCTGTGCCCTTTGCCCACCCAAAGCTGCTGCCGGGGGTGACCCAGCATGGTCCCTAACCCCGGTGCCACCACGGGGAAGCGTTCCCCTTCCCTGCCCAAATCCAACTGGTGCCAAAACCACCAGGCATCGAGCACAGTGGGACCGCAATGGTCTCAGTCCTACCACCTCATCCACCCCCCTGGGATGGGATGGGATGGGATGGGATGGGATGGGATGGGATGGGATGGGACCATCCCGGTGTTGGGGGGACACAGCAGCCCCAGATCTCGGTGGAGCAGTGTGACCCCAGATAGGCCACTCTAAATTTGGGCGGATCAGTGCAATTCCCACTCGGCTTTGCCGGGGCAGGTGACGAGTGGCAGGTGGTGGTGACGGGTGACAACAACCCTGAGAGGAGCCAGTTCCGCCCTGGGCGTCTCTTCCTCTCKCTGAACCCCGGAAGGAAGCGCGGCGGGCGCAGGGCCTGGCTCGGGGCGCTGGTGGCGTTACCGGGGCCTGGCGGTGTCCCCACGGCTGTCCCCACCCCAGCGACCCCCGCCATGGGTGACCGGGTGCCGGGGGCTCCGCGGCGGGCCCGGGGCAGGGGGCTGCAGCTGCTGCACCTGGGGAAGGTAGGCAGCACCCAGTGGAGGCAGGGGGGTGTTTTGGGGTCACGCCTCCCTGTGCTCCCCGTGGGGTTTCCCTGGGGGTTTCTGGGCGCTGGTGGGTGTCACGATGCCCATCCCAAAGKGCACCCAGCCCCACCCTAGGGGTGAGATCCCCCCAGGGATGCACCCATGGGAGAGAGGGAGGTGCTGGGGGGGCTCTCTGACAGGGGTCCCCCATTGCCACCCCCTTGTCCCTTGTCCCCAGGAGGAGGGTGGCCCCTGTGGTGGTTTCTGGCCCTGCTCACTGTGGTGGGGGGGTCATGGGGTGATGTGGGGGGACGGGGGGGTCACTGAGCCACTGTCCCACTCTGATCCTCTGTCCCCAGGGACACTGCGCCTTCTGTCACCTCCCCGGGGTGATGGGCAGGGCCGGCGCTGGGACCTTTGTCCCCACAGCTGTTAGCGAGAGGCTCRGGCTGTAAAACTGGGGAGATCAAAGGGCACCAGGAGGGGGTTCCCTGCTGGCAGCACCCGCCTGCTCCCAGGGGACACATCCCCCCACCCCGAGCAGCCCCACACCTGGGGGGGAGCCAGGCCAGTGCTGGGGGTGTTATTTTGGGATGTGGTGATGGCACTGTCTGGTTCAGCATCCGGCGCTGGGCGGGAGGCTGGGGCTGTGGGTGCTGGAAGTGTCCCAGGGTGRTGAGGGAGCTGGGGTTGGTGTGGGTGTGGAGGGGTCCCAGGGTGCGGGCTTGAGGGTGTAGGATGTGAGTAGGATGGGTGGGATGGGTGTGAGTTTTGGGTGCTGGTGCTGGCGAGGTGGGAACAGAGGCTGGGGGTGCAGGGCATGAGCAGGGCGGGGGTGTTGGAGCCACAGATATCAGCACAGAGGTTGTGGGTGCTCGTGGTTCGGGTGCCAGCGATGAGGGTGCTGATAATGCAGGCGATGCAGACACTGGTGATGCAGGCCCTGCATGAGTGGGTAACAGTGACACAGGTGGTGATGATGCAGGTAAGATGGATGCCAGTGATGCAGGTGATGTGGGTACCAGTGATGGGGGTAACAGTGATGCAGGTGCTGCACACAGTGGGTGATGCWGGTGYTGMWGRTRCMRGTGATGCAGGTGCTGATTTGGGTGCTGATGATGCAGGTGATGATGATGCAGGTACCAGTGATGCAGGTGCTGCCTGCCGTGGGTGATGCAGGTGCCCATGACACGGTGCTGGCCGTGAGGGTGCTGCCAGCAGCAGGTGGCACAGGCAGCAGTGACACAGGTGCTGGCACTGGGGACCTCGATGTCTCTCTGTGTGGTCAGTCTGGACTCCCACCCCAGTGCCAGCTGAGGGTGCCCCTCTCCACCTCCTGGCCCCCCACACCCCTGCCCCACGCCTCGGGGTGACCCAGCAGCCAGTGCAGGATCCGGCTCCTCGGCCCCTCACCCATCTGCCACCCGGCCACCACAGTGGGGACACCCCAGGAATGCCACCCCAGCTGTGGCAGTGACCCACCCGTGTCCCCCCAGGCACGCAAGGAGTCCGAGGAGACACCCGATCCCATCTACCTCAACATCCAGGAGCTGCGGGAAGAGGCCGCCGCCGCTGCCAGCTCGGCCCCGGAGGAGCCCGGCGGCTCCGTGTCGGACTGGGAAACGCACACGGACACGGACAGTGGACATTTGTTTTATTATAACCCGGTGACGGGCCAGACCACGTGGGATTGTCCCTTTGGGCAGGACGGAGTGAGTCCCGCCGCCTCTCCCGCCCCCTCGCTCGCACACAGCCCGGAGCTTCCCGAGTGGGAACAGCACGTGGACCAAGGGAGCGGACAGACGTTTTTCTATAATTGGGTGACAGGTGAGACGTCGTGGGACCCCCCCGCTGYGGGAGACGCAGGCAGCCCCCGGGAAATGCACCCTGGGGGGATGCGGTACGGGGCCGTGGAGCAGAGGGTGAGCACCCGGCGAGGAGCAGGGCGGGGTCGGGATGGAGGGGTGGGAGTGGAGAACGGGGTGGGAATGGAGGTGAAACGGGGATGGGGTGAAAATGGAGACAGATGAGGATTGAGAAATGGATGGGACATGCAATGGAGATGGAGATGGAATGAAGATGGAGGTGGGGATGGGAATGGAGACACAGAAAAAGATGTAAATGGAACCAGATACAGGGATGTAGAAAGGGAGGGGAATGGAGATGGAAACAGGTGGGATGGAGATGGAGGCATAGATGGAGATGAGAACAGATACTGGGATTGAGATGGAGATGGAAAAAGGGATGGAATGGAGATGGAAGTGGAGACAAGAATGGGAATGGAGATAGAGGTGGAGAAAGGGATGGGAATGGAGATGGAGGTGGAAAAAGGGATGGGAATAGAGATGAAGAGAGGGATGGAGATAGGCATGAAGACAGATGAAGATGGAGATGGAAATGGAGACAAAGATGATGATTGAGATGGAGATGGAAACAGGAGACAGGTGGGAATGGAGGTGAAACAGGGATGGGATGAAAATTGAGACAAATGGAGATTGACAGTGGGATGGGAGATGCAATGGAGATGGAAWTGGAGRCAGGTGGGAATGGAGATGGAGAAAGATGAAAATGGATGTGGGTGTGGATGCAGGGGTGTGGGAGAGGATGAGAATGGAGATGGAAACAGGGATGGGATGAAAATGGAGACAGAGATGGAGATGGAGATTGGGAAGGGGGTGGAAATGCAATAGAGGTGGAGATAGAGATGGAAATGGAAGCAAACCAATGGAGACAGACAGGAATGGAGGTGAAACAGGGATGGGGTAAAAATGGAGACAGACGAGGATTGAGAAATGGATGGGAGATGCAGTGGAGATGGAGATGGAATGAAGATGGAGCTGGGAATGGGAGTGGAGATGAAGACACAGAAAAAGATGGAGATGGGGACAGATACAGGGATATAGAARGGGAGGGCAATGGAGATGGAAACAGGTGGGATGGAGATGGAGACACGGATTGGAATAAAGAGGGAGGTGGAAAAAGRAGTGGGAATGGGAATGGAGATGAAGAGAGGRATGGAGTGGGCATGAAGACAGAGATGGAGATGGAGATAGAAATGGAGACAGGGCTGGGAATGGAGATGRAGCTGGGGCTCTTAGTAGGGCACAAGATCTTGACCTGTCTGTCCTCTGCAGCCACCCACTCCAGAAACAGACTATCCYGACCTGTCCCCAGATGAGCTCGAGGGTTATCCAGAGGAGGACTATTCGCCTGTGGGCTCCTATGAGCAGGGGGCCTCCCCCTGCCTGGCCCCGAGGCGCCCCGAGGAGCTGAGCTCACCCCCAGGCTGGTACGGGCACAGCCACCCTGAGGGAATCGTCTTCTACCCCGAGCACTTCGCCTCTGACACGGTACRGGATGGGGTGGGATGGAATGGGATCCATAGGATCCATGGTCCATGGGATCCATGGGATGGGATGGGGTAGGATRGGAATTGGGACTGGGACAGGGCTGAGCATGGGGATGGGGACAGAGAAAGGGACAGGGGTGAGCACAGGGATAGGAACTGGAATAGGGACAGGGATGGGTTATGGCCAAGGACAGCAATSGGGATGGGGACAGGATCAGGGACAAAGATGCAGACAGGGGTGACTGCCAGGGATCATCCTTACAAGCATGCAGAGCAGGGGGTGCAGGGGCTCTGGGGTTCTGGGGGGCACAGCCCAGCCCCCTCCTGGCAGGGGCACCTTGGGCATCACCCGACCCCTCCCTGCCCAGGTGCCATCGGGTGGCCACCATGAGCGGGCCAGCAGCGGCTCCAGCCAGGACAGCGGGCTCTTGGCCTGGCACGGCACCGTGTCCCCGGCGCTGGGCAGCAAGGAGGAGAAGGTGAGCACCCACGGAGGGGAACCCAGCCTGGCCCCACCCACCACCAGGGAGGGCAGGGGGCAGATTTGACACCCCACACTCTTATTTTCCAGTTTAAAAGCCTCGAGAARGCCGGGGTGCTCAACCGCACCAAGACGGTGGACAGGGGGAAGCGGCTCCGGTAAGAACATCCCGGTGTCCCCAGCTCCAGACACAGGAGCCCAGCAGGGCTGAGGGACAGGGRCAGTGCTGTCCCACTGGGTGACCCCTGCTCTGCTCCCCAGGAAGAACTGGAGCTCCTCCTGGACCGTGCTGGAAGGGGGGATCCTCACCTTCTTCAAGGACTCCAAGCACTCAGCTGCCAGTGCCTTGGTGAGAGCCCCAAGGGCCTCGGGGTGGGTCAGCACCCAGGGGATGGGGGCAGCACCCAGGGGATGGGGGCAGCACCCAGGGGACGGGGCAGCACCCAGGGGACGGGGGCAGCACCCAGGGGACAGGGGCAGCACCCAGGGGACAGGGGCAGCACGCATTGAATGGGACCAGCACCCATAGGACAGGGCAGGGACCCATAGGATGGGGTCAGAGCCTGCAGGATGAGGCCAGCACCCACCGTATGAAGCCAACATCCAGGGGACAGGGCCAGCACCCACAGCACTGGGGGGGTCAGTTGAGGGATGGGACCAGGACCCACAGGGATCCCTAGAACTGGGACGTGTCCGCTCGACCCCTGGCACACACACACACTGCCCGCAGGGGTGCCGGCCTTGGGGCATCCAGAGCTGGTGGGAGCCAGCAGGAGGAAGCGGTGCCGGCCCCAGAACCACCCCCGGTGTCCCGTTCCCCCACCCCGGTGTCCCGTTCCCCCACCCCGGTGTCCCTTGCCCCGCTGTCCCGCAGCCGCCGCCGCCGGATGCAGAAGTTGCCACGGGTGTTGCAACAGCCTCCGGTGACAGCGGCAGGGGGAGGGGACAGGGGACTCACAGCTTGGGAGGACATGGCGCTGGCCTCACCTCGGAGCTTGGGGCTCTGTCTGTGGGGTACAGAGGAATTTGGGGGAGGGGGACCGTGGCCAAAGCGCCCCGAAACCCAGGGCGTGGGGAGAACCAGTGGGGCTGATCCCCTCCCCCCACAGAACTTCCTCCTTGGGGGCAGCCACCCACTCCAATCCCACTGTGTTACCGAGAGGGACCCCAAAGCTGGAGCCCCCCGGGGTCCCTGGGCAAGGCTGGGAATGTCCCTTGAGGTGATGGCAGCCCTWGGGCCTGGCTGTCCCCAAGCTGGTGGCTGTGACCCCCACCCCACTATGGCAGCACCATGTCCTGGTCCTGCAGACACCAGAGGGGTCCCTCAGGGAACATCTGCCAACCTCTCCTTTCTGGAGGAGGCCATCCCACACACCCCTCCCCAGCAGGACCACGCTGTCCCTGTCCCCTCCGGGCTGGTGCCACCCTCGTCCCCTTGTCCCCGCAGAGGCATCCCAGCACCCTGACCACCCCCGAGCACACGGTGGAGCTGCGCGGGGCCGCCCTCACCTGGGCCGGCAGRGACAAGTCCAGCAAGAAGAATGTCCTGGAGGTGAGCGGTGACAGCAGGAGGGACACTGGTCACAGCCCGGGAGCAGTGCCACACCCGCCCAGTGGTGCAGGGGAGGGAGGTGGGGACACGGGGGGACGTCCCGGGGCTGGGGACACGGGACACGCTGCACTACTGGCCACTGTCCCCTGTCCCCATGGGCGGGGAGAGGCTCTGAGAGACATCCCGGATCCCGGAGGGGTTTTTCCACCCGGGCTCTGCCGCTCCCTGGAGAGTGGCACCGGCGCCGTTCGGTGCCATCGCAGCTGGCGCCAGGCTC